GGATATAAACATCGGATAATTTGTTTGACTAATGGTGGCAGCTCATATATTTCTTTTTTTGTTGTTTTTCCTTTTTGTTGTCGAATGCTGAAGATGAGTTGATTAAGTTTTTTGAAAGTTTCTTGTGGACATTTTCGATCACGTGGCAAGTCGAGTGGATTTGAATTTGTTGCTAGTGTTAGTGGCGACAAAGATGAATCGAGTGGATTGATGTTGGTTGTAATTATTAATGATGACAATGATCTTGTAATGGTTTTTGCGTTACTCAAAATAAAGAAGAATATTTATTAATAGTTAAAATATACTTCTATACAAGGAATCCGCTGATTTAATGAATATCGACTTTTCTAGGTTTTAACTGCTTTGACTTAAATTTAGAATATATTCAGAGTGAAAGCTGACACAAAAGAGATACATACGCTGCACCATCATCATTCTTTCCTTTATTGACATTTTCTTGAATTGATTTTTTTGAATTGATATCGTTTGAGTCATCTGATTCATCTGAAATATCTGTATCAACATTAGTTGTAGTATCTGAATCAGAATCAATGTTGCTTGTATTTGTAAGAGTGACACTTGAATGAATAGCATCATCGGGTTTCAGAATTTTGACTAGAGCTGGAGACATAATAACATTTTCCTTATGAAATGCACGACATAAGGCATTGTAACAAATGTCAAATTGCTCATTTTATATTGAAGTTCTATAGCAAAAAAAGCAAACGCTTTAGAATTATATTACTGGTCTAATTATGTTACTTGTAATCGTTATGTAGTTCAGTTTTAAAGAAAAGATGAAGATGATGATACATATTTTAATTCTTGTATCAAGAATAAAAAAGTTTTAACAAATGAAATATGATCAGAAATGAACAACAAGTAGAAAAACAATAAAAAAAAACTGTATGTTCAATAGAAAAAAATTAATAAGCACCAGGTATATATGAATCATCTAATGAGTTGTCATCATTAACACCAAGACTCATACGATCACCTTGTTCTGAATCAAGTGTTTCTTTAGTTAATTTTGTTTTTTCTTCTGCTTGTTTTCGTTTGAGCTCGGAATATACACGACGTTCATCAAGTCTTCTCATTGCAACTTTTGTATAAAAACCACAACCACCGCCTAAAAGAGAGATAATGTTGCATTTTAGACCAAATCTATAAACACTTTTACCTGTTAATTCAGCTATAACTGGTAAAATTGATTGATCACCTTCATTATATGATAATACAGCAATTGCTGCACATAGATCAATAACCACACCGGTGGTATATCGATTCTTTGGTGCTAAACTCCATAAAACGGCATGGAAACTTTCGTTGCTGTTTTGAGATCCACCATTGATGACTTTCTTTAGAGTATCAGCTAAATAATAAATAATCTTAAATTGATATTTAATGTTTCAAAGAACTTACGGTGAGCTAATTCATCAAACACTGGTCGGATTGCTTTCATAATACCTAATGGTAAACTATGCTTATTATGATCATATTCTTCACCTAATAATATAGAATAAAATCTCAAAAAGTATCNACAGTGCGTTGGGAGCGGATATCTACGTGAGGTTTCTGGTCGGTGGGGGGGGGGGGGGGTGCACACTCCCCTAAAACCCCCGCTCGCGCGGGGCCTGATCATATTCTTCACCTAATAATATAGAATAAAATCTAAAAAAGTATTTATTTTTTATTACCTTTTTCTAGAGATTTTAAGTATCCACAATATTTTATTGAACACCACTCATGATGAGGATCGTCGTTCGACGAAGCCTATAATAAAATATTTCTTTTTTTAAAATAAAATCCTGCTTATTTCGCATACTTTGTGTTTCCATATTGCCCAAATCGAACGAATCATTTCGTCTAGATTTGTTTTGTTTTGCACAATAGCTTGACGGTAATATTGTTTGAAATTAATCATCATTTCTATAAGAAAAACAGCAATTAGTTAGAGCAGAAGCAGAATTTACTAACGCTTTGTCATTCGGCTTTTTCCACCTATACCAAATTTTCCATCAATTTTGGTTTTCTTCAAATCTTCTGCTATCTTTTGTAAACGATGTAACATTTTTTCGAAAAATGATTCACGTCTTCTATTTTATTGATTGATACATTTTTATACGGAGGATAGCCAGTTAGTTTTGGAAAAACTTTAGAATCCCCGTCTCCTACATAACTACAACGAAATAATTTACAAAAAAAATAAAACAATATAGTTTTATTTACTTTATATATTGAACCTTGTACATTCTCTCAGATCGTGAAAACAAACGATATATTTATTCTGCTTCCATAGAGCCTAAAAAGCATATAGTTAGAATAGAAACTGCTGAACGGAATAATACCTGATGAGCCTGAATGATTTATTTCACATTTATGTTTATTTTTAATTTCTTCATATTTTGTTGGATTTGAATGTTTGATACTAAGTGCACCTGTACACATGGAACAACTTTTTGATAATCTCTCCAAATCCAGCACCTATAAAACTTGAATGTTAATATATAGAAATATTTTCATCTAATACGTACTTTTGCACTCGAACAGGTTGACATTATTTCAACAACTCCATGTAAACTAGAAAAGCCGCGTTTTTGCCAGGTTCCGTCTCCGCTTACAGTAAGTTTACGTCTATTTGATTCACCGCATGCTTCTTCTATAGCATTTTTCATTGAATTGAGCTTGTGTGATTCAAATACCGGAAGTATATGTGTAATGGTACGAGAAAAACGATCATCACCAATAGAAGATGGTCATTCAAAACACCACAAAGTTTTACAAGACCTTGATGACCTATCCCGGCAAAAGTTGCACCTAAATAACAGATCAATTTGTGCGTTACTATACTACTAAAAATAAACTTACCAATTGCACTTCAAATATTAATATCTCGTTTAGAAGTTTTTGGATATTGCTAAGATGTATTGATTTTAATTTCGTTCGAGCAGTGACATGTAAACATCAGAGAACAATATAATCCTAAAATATATATGTAATTATTAAGAGCCAGTCCATGTAAGCCACGACCGAAGTTGCTCAATCGATATCATCAGAACTTGCTCAATTTGAGATGTGTTATAGCGGGAAGAGTTTTATGATTTTTGACGCAAGCCGATTCAAAAAATATTCATCCCTCGATTTTTTATGAGCATTTTATGAAAAGGCCTAAAAATGATTATATATATAAATAGGGGTCCTAATGCAACGATATTTCACGAATGACTTAACCAGTTGAGCTGAAATTTTTTACCGCCATACATCTTAGTGAGTTCTATTTACCATAAAATTTTCGCTTTAAAATATTGACCGACTGGGATTTTATCAAGCACTCAATATATGAAAAAAGGTCCATTTTCCGTAACTTTGGCGCTTCAGAACTTTTGATAGGAATGATCTATGACTCTCAAATTTTTACTGTTAATAGGACAATGAGAGATGTATCTCTTCTGAAAATTTCAGCTATCCATACCGTTCTATTTGCTCATTGCGGCCCCGTGAAAAACGAAATTTTGATAAATGCGGGAACTTTCACGATAGACTTTCTTCCAAGAAATGGATTGTCTGCGGCGTTGGGTATTGGAACTTGGAAGTACTTTCTTTGGACTACAATTCTGTAAAAAAATTAGCGTGGGATCTCCAAGAATGGCCCCAGGGTACTCATTGCAAAATACGAAAAAATGAGCCTTTTCTATGGGAAATCTACCTAAGTGCACTTCGAAATTTCTCCAAGGATACTACTATGTGACATAAATTTTATCTGGTAAAAATCAGCATTAAATTCTCCATTACCCTGTATCAAAATATCCTTTCTCGTAGAAAAAAAAATTTTANTCGACATTTTCGATCATGAGGCACATCGAGTGGATTCGCTTTTGTTGTTAGTTTTAATGACGACAAAGACAAATTGAGTGGATTTGTATTCGTCGCTATTGCTAATGACGATAATGATCTTGTCATAGATTTTACCTTACTAGAAATAAAGAAGAATATTTATTGATATGTAAAATATACTATTACAAGAAAAGCACAGCGATTTAATGAATATTCACTATTCTAGGTTTTAGGTTTTTCGACTTAACTAAGGATGGATTCAGAGAATACACAGACAGATAAGAGGTACATACACTTGAACATCATCATTCGTTCCACTGTTGACATTTCCTTGAGCTGTTTTATTCGAATCGATGTTATCTGAATCGTTTGACTCGTCTGAACTGCTCTCGTCGTTGGTTGTTGTAGTATCAGACTCAGATTCAATGTTGTTTGTATTTATAAGAGTAATTGATGAACGAACAACATTCTTGGGTTTTAGAATTTCGACCAGGACAGCAGGCATAATAACATTTTTCTTAACAAATTCACGACATAAGGCGTTATAACAGATGTCAAAATTGTTCATTTTATCTAGAAATTGTATAGAAAAAAGTAAACGCTTCAGAAATATATTAATTTTATAATTATGTTATTTATAGTAGTAATGTAGTTTAGTTCAAGAAAAAATGGAGATGATGATACATATTTTTATTAAGAATAAAGAGGTTCTAACAAATGAAATATGATCATAAATAAACAAACAAGTAGAAAAACAATAAAAGAAAACTATGTTCAATAGAAAAAATCAATACGCTCCAGATATATATGAATCGTCTAATGATTCATCACCATTATTACCAAGACTCATACGATCACCTTGTGGCGAATCAAATGTTTCTTTAGTTAATTTTGATTTTTCTTGGGTTTTTTTTTTTAGTTTGTGTTCGTAATATACACGACGTTCATCAAGTCTTCTCATTGCAACCGTCGTATAAAAACCACTACCACCTAAAATAGAAATAATAGTGCATCGTATACCAAATTTATAAACATTTTTACCTGTTATTTCAGCTATAACTGGTATAAGTGATTGATTCCCATCATTATATAATAATACAGCAATTGCTGCACATAAATCGATGACCACACCAGTAGCATATCGATTCTTTGGGGCCAAGCTCCATAAAACCGAATGAAAACTTTCATTCGCGTTTTGAGAGCCGCCATTGATAACTCTTTTTAGAGTATCAGCTAAATAATAAATAATCTCGTAATGATGTATAAGATTTTAAAGAACTCACGATGAGCCAATTCATCAAACACCGGTCGAATTGCTTTCATAATACCTAACGGTAAACTGTGATGATTATGATCATATTCTTCACCTAATTATATAAAATAAAATCTCGAAAAGTATTAATTTTTTATTACCTTTTTCTAATGCTTTTAAATATCCACAGTAGCTTAGTGAACACCATTCGTGATGTGGGTCTGAGTTCGACGAAGACTACAATAAAATGTTCCTTTTATTTATAAAACTCTTTTTAGTTTTACTTACTTTGTGTTTCCATATCGCCCAAACTGAGCGAATCATTTCGTCTAGATTTGTTTTGTTTCGCACGATAGCTTGACGATAATAATGCTTGAAATTAACCATCATTTCTAGAAAAAAAACAGCAATTAGTTAGAATCGAGCTGAATTACACTAACTTTGTGTCATTCGACCATGACCACGTATACCAAGTTTTCCATCAATCTTGGTTTTCTTCAGATCGTCTGCTATCTTTTGTAGACGGTGCAGCATCTTCTTTGAAAAATGGTTCACATCTTCTATTTTCATAATTGATGCATCTTTGTACGGAGGATCATTCATTAATTTAGGGAAAACTTTTACGTCACCGTCTCCAATATAACTATAATTAGATAATGTACGAGAAAAGAGCTCGATATAGTGTTATTTACTTTGTATATTGAACGTTGTACAATCTCTCGGAGCGGACAAATAAACGATATATTCCATTGACCTCCATAGAAGCTAAAAAAAGAATAGCTAGATTAGAAACTTTTGGATGAAATTCTACCTGATGAACCGGTGTGATTTGCTTCACATTCATGGTTATTTTTAATTTCCGAATATTTTTTTGGATCTGAATGTTTGATGCTGAGTAAACCTGTACAGATGGAGCAATTTTTTGATAATCTTTCCAAATCCAATACCTGCCAAACTCAAAATGATAGTATATAGAAATATATTTATCTAATGCATACTTTTGCATTGGAGCAGCTAGACATTATTGCTACGACTCCATGTAAACTTGAAAAACCACGTTTTTGCCAAGTGCCATCACCACTAACAGTAAGTTTGCGTTCATTTGATTGACCACAAGCTTCTTCTACAGCCTTTTCCATTGAGTTAAGCTTGTGTGATTCAAATGCGGGAAGTAAATATGCGATGGTACGAGAAAAATGATCATCGTCAATAGGAGGTGGTACGTTCAAAGCAGCACAAAGTTTCAAGAGACCTTGATGACCAATACCGGCAAAATTTGCACCTAGATATTAGATAAATTTATCTATTACTATAGTATTAAGGATAGACTTACCAATCGCACTTCGAATATTGATGTCTCTTTTAGATGTTTTTGGGCATTGTTTAGATGTATTGATTTTAATTTCATTCGAGCAGTGACACGTGAACACCAGAGAACAATATAATCCTACAATATATATGTAATTATTAAATTTTACTCGAGAGACGACAACACAAACAGTACCTTCGAGTTTTGAAACAGACATATCACCATTCCATATTGACTTGCATGAAATACAAAGACTTTGTTTCATTAATTCCAACAAAAACGAGTTGTGAATTATCTGGTAATAATCATTCGTATCTTCATCAGCATCTGTATGTTGCTGTTCAAGAAAGTTTGATAATTTCTGACGCGATGGACCGGTAAATGGATGGTTTTTGTACGTAAAATGTTCATTGCCAGCTGGTTGATCTGTATCAGAAATAAGATCATGTTATAGTTTGNGAGTGAAGATGATGTCTGGTTTTTGTAAAAACTTTTTGTCATCAATGTCTGATGGATATAAACATCGGATAATTTGTTTGACTAATGGTGGCAGCTCATATATTTCTTTTTTTGTTGTTTTTCCTTTTTGTTGTCGAATGCTGAAGATGAGTTGATTAAGTTTTTTGAAAGTTTTTTGTCGACATTTTCGATCACGAGGCAAGTCGAGTGGATTTGAATTTGTTGCCAGTGTTAATGACGGCAAAGATGAAATGAGTGGATTTACGTTGGTTGTAAGTGTTAATGATGAAAATGACCTTGTAATGGTTTTTGCGTCTCTTGAAACAGAGAAGAATATTTATTAATAGCTAAAATATACTTTTATAAGAAGACCCTCGGGTTTAATGAATATCGGGTTTTCTAGGTTTTAAGTGCTTTGACTTAAATTTAGAATGTATTCAGAGGAAAAACTGACACAAAAGTGACACATACGCTACACCATCATCATTCCTTCCTTTGTTGACATTTTCTTGAATTGATTTGTTCGAATCGATGTTGTTTGAGTTATCTGATTCATCTGAACTATCTGTATCATTGTTGGTTGTAGTATCATTATATGATAATACAGCAATTGCTGCGCATAGATCAATGACCACACCAGTAGCATATCGATTCTTTGGTGCTAAACTCCATAAAACGGCATGGGAGCTTTCATTGCTGTTTTGAGATCCACCATTGATGACTTTCTTTAGAGTATCAGCTAAATAATAAATAATCTTGAGTTGATATTTAATGTTTCAAAGAACTTACGATGAGCTAATTCATCAAACACTGGTCGAATTGCTTTCATAATGCCTAATGGTAAAAGATGCTTATTATGATCATATTCTTCACCTAATAATATAGAATAAAATCTCAAAAAGTATTTATTTTTTATTACCTTTTTCTAGAGATTTTAAATATCCACAATATTTTATTGAACACCACTCATGATGAGGATCGTCGTTCGACGAAGCCTATAATAAAATATTTCTTTTTTTTAAATAAAATCCTGCTTATTTCACATACTTTGTGTTTCCATATTGCCCAAACCGAACGAATCATTTCGTCTAGATTTGTTTTGTTTTGCACAATAGCTTGACGGTAATATTGTTTGAAATTAATCATCATTTCTATAAGAAAAACATCAATTAGTTAGAGCAGAAGCAGAATTTACTAACGCTTTGTCATTCGGCCTTTTCCACCTATACCAAGTTTTCCATCAATTTTGGTTTTCTTCAAATCTTCTGCTATCTTTTGTAAACGATGTAACATTTTTTTCGAAAAATGATTCACGTCTTCTATTTTATTGATTGATACATTTTTATACGGACGATAGCCAGTTAGTTTTGGAAAAACTTTAGAATCCCCGTCTCCTACATAACTACAACGAAATAATTTACAAAAAAAATAAAATAATATAGTTTTATTTACTTTATATATTGAACGTTGTACATTCTCTCATATCGTGAAAACAAACGATATATTCCTTCTGCGTCCATAGAACCTAAAAAGCATATAGTTAGAATAGAAACTGCTGAACGGAATAATACCTGATGAGCCTGAATGATTTATTTCACATTTATGTTTATTTTTAATTTCTTCATATTTTGTTGGATTTGAATATTTGATACTAAGTGCGCCTGTACAAATGGAACAACTTTTTGATAATCTCTCCAAATCCAGCACCTATAAAACTTGAATTTTAATATATAGAAATATTTTCATCTAATACGTACTTTTGCACTGGAACAGGTTGACATTATTTCAACAACTCCATGTAAACTAGAAAAGCCGCGTTTTTGCCAGGTTCCGTCTCCGCTTACAGTAAGTTTACGTTTATTTGATTCACCACATGCTTCTTCTGTAGCATTTTTCATTGAATTAAGCTTGTGTGATTCAAATACCGGAAGTATATGTGTAATGGTACGAGAAAAATGATCATCATCAATAGGAGATGGTCATTCAAAACACCACAAAGTTTTACAAGACCTTGATGACCTATCCCGGCAAAAGTTGCACCTAAATAACAGATCAATTTGTGAGTTACTATACTACTAAAAATAAACTTACCAACCAATTGCACTTCGAATATTAATATCTCGTTTAGAAGTTTTTGGACATTGCTTAGATGTATTGATTTTAATTTCGTTCGAGCAGTGACATGTAAACACCAGAGAACAATATAATCCTAAAATATATATGTAATTATTAAGTTTTACGTGAGAGAAGACAACATAAACAGTACCTTCCCTTTTTGCAACAGACATATCACCATTCCATATTGATTTACACGAGATACAAATACTTTGTTTCATTAATTCAAATAAAAATGAATTGTGAATTATCTGATAATAATCATTTGTATCTTCATCAATATCTGTACTTTGTTGTTGTTCAAGAAAATTTGATAATTTTTCGCATGATGGACCGGCAAATGGACGTTTTTTGTACGTAAAATTTTCATTACCAGTTGGTCGATCTATGTCAGAAATAAGATCATTTTGTAGTTTATGTGTCTTTCTTGTGACACTGTTAACGATTTTTCGCGATGTGGAAATGTTTTGAACCAGGTGCAGCTTTCGTTGCTTTTCCAATTTCGAACGACCTGGCATTCCAGACAATATTAGCGTAGAATAATTAAAAAATCTAGAAAACAAGAAGTGATAATGCCTTGTTGCTGAGAGAACATGAGTGACGCTAATTATAAGTCGGTTGTAGCGTCTTACTCATCTTTCCCCAAAAACTTTCAGGTTTTTTTTATTCATTCAAAGAACGATGTGAATCATCGTGTCGATGCTGTGGCATAAAAATAAGTCAGTCATCCGAAAAAGAGCAGAGCAAAACTATTTCAGCATGACAGATGGGGCGATAGCTTACTGCATCTGTTACGCGCTTTAAAAAAGTCCAAGGAAACATATTTGAAATATGCCATTTTAATATGATTTTTTTGAATTTAAATGAAAAACAACCTATTCTAAAACTTCTTTCGAATTTTTCTCAGAACATAGTTTCCAATCAGAAAAATTGGAACTCCTCCGTCATTTTTCGAGCTATTATCAATATTTGTTTTTGGTTTAAAGGCCTCAATGAGATTAAACTTTTATCCGAACGGATTCTTTAAAGTTGATTCCTGGGCTGAGAAAAGTGGGATTTACTGTAGTTGGACCACCATTTTTTATGCTGATTTTAAGACCCTTGTACTAAAGTGCTCATAAAAAATGAACAATACGGAATATAAAAATTCTGTTCGGACAACAGTTGCGTCTTGACATGGACTTTAATTTGAAATTAGCCCGAGCTCTCTATCTCTTGTTATGACGAAGTTATATCGATTCTCGTGAAGGCCAAAAATGACCCATGAATCAGCTGGAAATTCGGTCTAGTATGACCAATCGAGCTGAAATTTTTACCAAAAGCGTATCTCTGCAAGATCACTTATCCCTGCAAATTTGAGCATGAAAGTACCGTTCAATGTGGAAAATCGTTTCTGAGGGGGGGGGGGGGGGGGGGGGTTGAGGCGATTTTTTTCTCTGGGGGTTTGTGTTGGGCAAAAGGTTTT